CCCGAAATGATGGTCACCGATGGTTAAGGACACTGAGCGATAAGGCTGAGTGTCGCAAACAGTGGCGCTCATGCATCAACTCATTATTCTTGTAACTTAAGTTTATATATTCGCTATCTTCCGCTTAAATTCGCTCTCAACATTCTAATCATCATTCTGCTGTTTTATCCAAATGGGCGACCAAAAGACAGCAACGAAAACCGGCGCGCGAAAGTGCGTGGTTAATGTTTGTAAGGACTGAACCGGACTGATATTCAAATATTTATATGACAAACTGGTCTTGTCAGTCAGGTTTGGGGCTCGTAGACCATCCTACGCTTTTAGGCTTAAAAAATCTCGGCGTTCTCCTAAATGTGACTGCATGCATTCTTCCAGATTGGTTTTACTGATCCCTCGTATATTTTCCTGGTCTAAAAGAGAAAGACTTTATTCTATACTCCAGATCTCCTAAACTTCTTTCCCGTTGCAGTGGCATTTCAAACACCGGTTTAGTTGATTTTATTGTGAACAAGCATTTTGATTCATGTGATAGATTTATCAGCCATATACTATCAAATGAAGAACTCTGCCTGCGTGCTCATCTCAATAAATCGGTGTCTCATCCGAGTACGCGTTCCAAATTTAGGATTCTTTGTACACGCACCACCACATAAAATAGCATCATCTCTTATTTTGCTTGTATCTTGGTCAGCCAAAGAAATATTATTACAGACTTCAATAATTATCTGTCAAATTAGGATTTTATCACATCCATTTGTTTTTCATTTAGTAAATGTATATCTCTTCTTTTTCCAATGCTTAACGTTTTCCTCATTGTAACTTGCCGAAAGTGCTGAAAATTCATCCTATTGAGTGCACAATGCTTTACTGTACTTGACTTGATAGATCCCGTCCATTTGGACAACAAATCGGGTAGGAAAATTTAGAAGAATTGTCAGGTCTAAAGTTGTAAGAAAAGAGATAAGAAAACGATTGAAATCGCCAGCCACAATGCATAAAGAACCAGGATAGTGGTTCTTCTCAACAAGTAGAAACCGTAAACCTACCTTCTATGTGTTGTATGGGGCTGCCAAGGCACCTAAAGAATCGCAACAAATTGAGGTCTAGGTTCATTGTTCCGTGACAAGCATGTCGCATGATGAGAACAGTGGGCTTTTTCTAACTCCTCCAGTCTGGTTCAGTTTACCAATACTGCGTCACTGATCTCACTATCCTGATATGCATACAGGGATTGAAGTTCACTGGTTCTGCATTGCTCGCTTCCTCTCATCCAGTGAATTACGCGATCAAGGTTTCCATCGAGCCCGTGTGCTCATTCTCACTCCGACCAAAGAGGCTGCTCGTCGTGTTGTGCACACGTTCCTTGCATTGATGCCGAAAGGATCAACTGTCAGTCATCGGAAACGGTTCGAGCGGGATTTCGGACCACTGCCTGGGGAAACCGACAAGGAAAAACGACTTGGGCGTAAACCGAAAGATTACGAAGAATGGTTCAGTTGTAAGTAAAAATTGATCACATGCATAGTTAGATTTCTGTAATGTGTAACCCAGTTGTAACATAATACACGAATGGAGTGTTTAGTGCGTGTTATACAAAAAGCGATTTGCATCTCACTCTTTGAGCCCAACAACAGCAAGGACAATTCACAGCATCAGATATGTTGTTTTGTTTATATTTTCGCCAGCGAATGCATAATTTCTATCCGCACAAGCAGCGCCACCTGACCTCATTATTGGCGATCCGGTATCACCATTTTCGGTATTGTAATGGATAAGAGGCACCAGTGGTTGAATACCTCTGGCTGTCTTACGTATTGACTTCAAAGTTGCCAAATCTCGTATCCATACGTAGTGATGGCTCAAATGACGATCTCGTATGTGAGCATTTGTTTTTTTTCCAAAGACTGATCTCGTTGCGGGCTCACGATGATCTGTCAAACTGTTGAAACGCTCTCCTTGCGTTGTCTACAGCTGACAGCAGGATGGAACCTGGGTAGCCGTAAACAACCTGATCCCAGAACCGCACCAAGTGGGAACAGTCAGTAGTTGAATGATGCTCTTGGTTTCCCATACCATACATCTCCAGTCCAACCGTTTACCCTAGTGTGTCGTTGCGTTTGACAATCGGTTATAGATAGTGCGGGGTCTCACTAAGAGCAACGATGCTCAATAACACACTCAAGGTGTGCAATTCAGGTACTCGAACCAAGCTGATAACTACCCGGATTTCTAGGGCTCAAGCAGCAGGACTGGAACATCTTTGGTGTAGACGAGACGTTTCACTGAAGTTGAAAGGTCGTGTGTATTGTGCTGCCGTTTGTTCAGTGCTGCTTTATGATAGTCAGACCTTGAGTTGGCGAGTGGAAGATATCCGTAGTCTGGAATTTTTCGCTTATCGTAGTTTAGCCCATGTGGGATGGGGCGAACGGGTTGGTAATCCGGAGATATGCCGTCGTCTATTTGGGAGTTTATCAGGGATACAAAAGGTAGCTCATCGAATTCGGATTAGTGGGCTTCGCTGGCTAGGGCACGTATTGTGTATCATCACCTGTAGTCTGCTGCACCACGCTTTGTTCGCTGTAGCCGCTCTGGGCTGGAGGCAACCACGTGGTGACGAGGTATAAAGAAATGCACCGAACCATTAGGTAGAGTATCTCTCTCGCACCTTCCAGGCTGGGGTCCGAAAGACTCCGCAACTGGATGTTTGGAGACACTGAAGGTTATGACAGCAAACCGACAACAGTGGCGTACTTGTTTTCATTTCTTATCAGGTCAGAATAGTTGAACAGAATTATATATGCACAGTTAGATTGTGTGCTCTGTGTGTTGATCATAGAGGTTCACCTTCTTCCTTCTCTCTCCGAATGAGTCCAGTCCGTGTTCACCTTACGTATTACCACTAACCTTGTATGCATTGCAAGTTTGGCAGCGATCACTGAAGTTCGCCTCACTGTATTTCGCTCTACGATGATGGTGATGTGCCCGCCCACGCACTGCGAGCCAGTGATTGGTCATCGCAGACTTCGATCCAACGAAGACTGCAGTTCCTTGCACCATACTCCTCGCAAACCGAAGCGATCACTATAATTTCGGATTGCCTGATTTCCTACTCCTCACTTCGCCTCTGCGACCATCACGTGTGTGTTGGGGGTGGGCCACAGTTTCGTGAGTTCACTCAATCACTGTTTCAGCACGGGACCAAACGATTGCTGACTTCTCCTTTGCAGGAAAGCTCACAAACTTCCAGTGTTTATGTAGCTTCACTGGAAATCTGGTCCTATCTTCGGATTTTCTCCGTACAACGTAGACAACAGCGATCAAAAATTTCAACATTTCGATGCCCCTGGCTCTAAGTGGCTATATTTCGCAACTGTATGTGCGAGAGAAGCTGATATGGACTTCATAGGCGCTTATGTCAGTTTTCAGGTTTATTTCGCAATAGTTTCACCGTAGAAAAATTATTTTAACGTCGCAATTGCGAATATGAATTTCATTCTTAGCCTAACCAAAAACGGTAAATGATGTATCCAAGGTAATTTAGGACTGACTTGTTCTACATCGTCCCTGTCGAATGCTAACTAACTGGCTTACTGCTGGTGTGTTGGTGGCAGTTAACATCGTTTTAGTTTTGGGGATGTTCATCTCTAAACCTACTCTGTTGGAAAAAGGTTCTATCTGATCAAGTAGTGCAATGTCTTCTGCAAAATCGAGGTCAGTGATCCGTAGATCCCGACCAAGCCACAGCCAACGGCATGCCTCGGGAGCCCATTGTATTACCCAGTCAATGATGTAAACGTGGGCATCCCCGTGGAACTCTGCAGCTCATTCTGAATTTCGTTGAGTGTTCCCCCATGAACACTGACTCGAAGCCAGATGAATATGCGGTGTGATATTACTAGTTTAGTGATTTTAGTCTTCATTCTGTCGGCTCGTAGTACAGACCGTAACAAATTTCTGCTCACCGGGTGGAAGACGACACGAAAGTCGAGGAGGCAAGCAATATCCTGCTGCTAGAATTCCGGTGATCTTGATATGCTCCTCAGTTCCATCATCGAGATGTCTTTTACGGACGTTATGAAACCATTCCATTTACAGACCTGTCCACCGGAGCGTTCAGTCATATACCCTAAGATAGCGTGTGAGAGCTCGTGCTTTCTCTGGAAAGTAACGCCGATCTTCACTGGGGGGGGGGAGTACCTCATTACGCTTGACCAAATGAAGCTTGAAATCAGCACGCACTAGTATATGTCCCTTTCTGTTGGCGTTTCCAAGCACAATGTCACAGCAGACAACGCCCAATGAGATCCTATTAGAATGTAGTCAGTCTAATGTGCTGTTTTACTGTCTTTAGAATACCATGTCAAAAGACACCTTTGCGGTGTTTTAATTGCGTGCTGGAGACAATCATTAAATGGAAATCAGCAAACATGAGGAGACATTTCCCATTGGTTTGTTGGTGACCGAGGCTGAATTTATCTGTGCCTTGCGTCCTTCATGGTCCCTCGTCAGAATGTTCTCATCCTCTGCGCCAGGTCCATGAACAACTCTTTGCACGAATTGGCCGTGAGTCCTGGTCTTAGCACCCGAAGCAGTGGGCATTCACAATCCTAATCAGCTCTGTACTGTGTGCTCAAAACACAACGTGTTATGCCAATGAATTTCCCCCGTCCCCGTCCGCCTAACCGATCTTCCTGTGGCTCCGAACCATCCTAATTATCGTTGCATTTTTTTGGAGACAATAGAAATCATCTTTTTAATACATCAGGACCAAATGATGTTAGGAATGTATCGAAAAATCGATGTCCCATGTGTTGTTTTATTGTGAATGTTATAATGTTAATAACACAGCGATGTCACAAGTCAACGGATATTTCATCGTGTGTCTCTTTCTCTCTGTGTATGTGTGTGTGGTGGACTGAATGATTCGTTGTGTCATACTAACTCCCATTATCAGATGGGGTCAAGTGGCACAGTGATCTTTATCGTGATTAAGCCTTGTGGATATTAGATTAGTCCAAATGCTCGATTCCGTCGTTTCTGTTGACACACGCAGAGTGGGTGTTAATGGCCAATGCTTCAGCATACGAGCGTTCAGTGCATGTTCGAAATCCGAGTTGGAGTATTTTCGGACTGTCGTAGTCTATGTTGTGACCTTCGGCTGTGGCGTGAAGAGCGATCGCTGAGTCTCTCGTTCTAGTTTTGCCAGAGTTGCTTTGTCCGTAGGACGGTGTTTTTCTTTTTTTATGTTCGGTTGTTCTTGCCTTAATTTGTCTACTGGTTTGTCCAGTGTATTCTGCGGGGCATTCTTTACAACTGATCTTGTAACCGAAACTTCGGTGAATATAATTCTCTACCGATATCGCTGTGTTATTAACATTATAAAATTCACAATAATAGAAATTATCTACCTCACAATTTAATTTTTTATGTGCTGCTACTACTATCCGGTCATCCCTGATTATGTAAGATGCCGTTTATTCATCAAAAAAGGGTAAATCATCAGTAAATAAGTTCTGTTCGCTGCCTTATGCCTGAGCGCTTGAATATTGGACTTTATTCTTTCTGACACATCTTCCACGGGTTGCTGAAAGTTTAGCCTATTGAACGGTCTTCCACAGTCTGACTGTCAATTACTTCTGGGATTCGAATTCGGAAAGCATTGGTCAAATTAAAACTGATTGTACGACTGCCTGAATGNNCGATCGAAATCATTGTCAAACATCCGTATATCAGTTCTGATTTTGAAATAGTTTTGCTGTGGACTCGATTTTTTATTCCCGTCCGTAAACCAACACGCGGGCTCCTCTTTATTGCACGTCCGTCGTTGCGTCGCTACACACGTTCCTCGTTAAAATACCGTCGTCCTGTTATATGTGATCTTGTACTACCTACCTCCTGTTCCCCTCCCCCCTCCGGACCCGTTTGAACCAACCTCAGGCAATGTGAGCGACCACTTTCGTATCGGAATCGCGTTCGCTAAGAAGTCCGTTAAATTGTACTCGGCTTTCGCGGATTCCGATCTGATTTTGGCATCTCCACTCGGTTTGCAGAGCATCATCGAAGAGGAGAAGTAAGCGCACAGTTGGTCTCGCATACACCACTTATTCATTGTCTTCATTTTCATGCTGAATGACTACTCCCCTGATTGCTGCTTTATTGTATTGTATTGTGTGAGATGCTTGACTCGTGTGTGTGTGTGTGTGTGTGTGCGGCAGGATGTCCCCCCTGAACGAATACACTAGAGAACCGCATGTGTGCCGAGCCTCAGTGTGGGCTGGAACTGTCGACAGACAGGAGGTTCTACGTGGAGGGGGTTGACTGAAAATCCATAAGANNTAAGAAAGGAAAATGCGGACACCATGAACCAAAAGGTCCAGTGAGACATGAACACGACTCACACTCAAACGAAATGGCAAATTGCCAAGGACGTTACAACTGTGTCTAAGTTTTGCAAGCATTAGAGCATATTTTTCAGTAGAAAAAGCTGTCCGTGCCAACCGTCACAGTGAACATACGCAACGGTGAAAAAGGGTTTACATATAGCATAGGACCATTGTAAACTAATTATTGTCTCTGAAACAGATCAGTTTCACGTTTTTTCTTGCGGCACGATTTATGAATGATACGGTTTGTTCCACGCAACCATCTACTTGAGAATAACTCGGCTTCGTGGATATATATATATATATATATATATATATATGACAGCTTGGTAAACAACGATGTTGATTGTTGTTTTTGTAGCTCGGGTGGTATAATATGATGTTCA